TGACGGTTCGGGCATACGAGATATTATGGAGTGCAAAATACAATTAATTATATAAGTTTTCATTTAACAAAATAATCTTTATAATTATATGATATAATACGAGTACAACCATTTGTATTATCAACATAGTCTCCTCCTTGTTTGACGATAATAATTGACGCAAAATCCCCAATGCATGACTCTTGGTTTTGAGAAGAGCTCAACGCAGTTATTGTCCAACGGGATTCCATTGTATTCTTTTTTCTATAAAAAAAATGTATTATAATTTATTTCACTGCAACATTTTACAATACGAAAATATATTTAAAAAATACCTTTTAATACCAGTATATGAGAACTGCTAAAAACATACATTATATAAAATATTGTAATATAATGGTTAAATATATTTTGTTTAAATTGAATGAAGACAAAGTCAACAATCAAATGACTATACAAAATGTATATTATAAGAGGAATCCACGTCATAAATTCGCAGTAATTATGTCGCTGTAAAAATTTAAACACAAAAATATCGTAATGTCAAAAATATGAAAAATACAATATTAATATGTTAAAATTTAATTTATAATATACCTATAATAATTAGTATAATTTTATTTTATTTTTATTTTACTTTTACGAAGTACTCAGCCATACAGTCAATTTTCATAATCATCACATTTGGCTTTAAGTCGAATTGCAGAATCTTCATATTTTTTTCTTTTTCAGAGGTTTGATGTCAGCAATATACTGTTCAACTTTTAGACGGTTTAAGTTTTCTTTTTTTTGCAGTGAATCGATAAAAATCCAGATGGAAGGACGACGAGTACTTAATATTGAACTAAATTTTAACTAGTAATATATACACTGAACTTTGTTTTCGTAAGTAAATGGTATTATATTATTACCAGCTATAGTATTTTAATCAAATCTAATTCTACTGACCATTGAACGAAAACCGAAACTGCGAGAGACATCAGTGATTACGGACACTAACCTGTGACATTTTTGTTTTGGCGACATTTTTGCAGCGATATTTTTACCATAACATTTTTACCCCAAGATTTTTGACGCGACACCTTATAAAAATATATTAGTGGTTTGTGATTTTAAGTATACAATTGAGAAATTAATATTTAAATGTTATAAATACTTAAAATACATGATAATAGGTGTTTGATTATACACACTGGTTATTAGGTACTTTATTATAATAGGTATATGTATAATAAGTTTCCACGTGATTTTCTCAATCAAACTGCCTCGTGTCAAAATCATTCTAATTCGGAAGACCAACGCTACTCGAAAAACGCATATTTTATCACATTGAATAAAGTACCTACATATTTTAACATTTTTTTTTTTTTTGTTACTTACATATTTTTTCAATTTGTCTAAATCAGGGGTCACCAACCATTTAATAGCAATCGACTGGTCAATTTTTTTTAAGAATATAATAAGTCGATTGCGAATAAAAATTAATTTACCAATATCGGTTGATTGTGTAATTAAAAATCGAATAATTACTATATTGTATTCTATATGTATTGTATATATATTGAATTAACCATTATTGGTTTGTTACAATAGTAGAAATAGTTTATTATAGTTTATTAGTTTATTACTATCAATTAAAATTCAATTTTCAAATTGACCTTTTTTTATCTCTTCAAAAAAAAAAAAACTCTTAAACCTAAATGTTGATCATCAGAGACTTGAAATTTCGAATGTACCTCACTTAATTTAAAAGGTTAGCGACCCTTGGTCTAGGTGATGGAAATAATTATTCTGATAATTGTATTTGTAAGTCTTGAACTGTTACAGTTGAAAACTGGAATAGACGTGTTAAAACTTTAAGAGTATTTTCATACATATATGGTGCAACTTCATAACAATTTACACATCTTAATATGTATAGGCTGTAGTATTTTTATAACCTTAAAATTATTTAAATTTAAATTTACTAACCAATAAATACTAATCTATTTTTACATAATGGTTGATATACCTAAAAACTACATGAAGCACGTTGTTGGTATTATTATACTTTATTGTAAGATAGTAGATAATAATATAATCGTAATAAATTGTTGAAATAGTTTATTAAAATTTAAAATATGTATACAATATCAATTGGAAATACTTCATAATGTATTTACAATCGTCCGTTTTTGTTTTGGAAATTACTGTGATATCATAAAATAATAATATGACGAATTAAAATATTGTACAGTTCATTTGTTTCGTTTTGTATAAGTGTTTACGAGTCAGTCTGTAGCGACGTTAGAAGCGGTCGGAGGCACCTATATTATTATGGAGGAATGGAAATTTGTCTACGAAAAACTTGTTATTGTAGCGATTTGTTATTGAGGTTGACACATTAACATATAACACGCTGTAAAATAAAATATACGAATAAAATACATTTGGTTGTACTCGAAAAATACAGACTGGAAGATATTTTTCATAGAACATTCTCTAACGAGGATTTTTACAGTAATTCATTTTTGTCGGGGTTTTCCTTACTTTATATTTATATTTATTATTATATTGCTGTCGTTGTTTTAGTTCACTCGAGATAGAATATTTCAGCAGGGCACGACGTTGTTGGTTTATCTCTCTGACTGCACTCGTAATACATTATTTATTAGTACTGCACTTGTTTTGAACAATAATAATAATAACCATAATAATCATAAAAAATAGCTAATAATAATTACACATTTACATCTTACATGAATATTAAAATATTTTATTTCACTTATTATGTATACGTTTCATAGTTTAAAAAGTATTATTATAGTAAAATAATATTCGTTTCAATAATATTGTTATTCATTTAATAGTTTTAAAACTTAGTATATGATAAACACGGTCTTCTATGAAAAAACCACATATTTCTTATTGAAGCAAATGGTACTGGGGCCATATTTAAAAGGTCCGAAAGAAGCAATTGTCATACAACTTTCAGGGAGAAGGGGGGTTTAACCAAGTCCGGACTGGGAGGATACTAGCCTACTATTCTCAGTAAGTAGACGACCATAAGCTCATAGATACAATATAAAAAAGACCTTTATTTATGCTCATTAATTGTTTAAAAAAACTCAAGTATTTTATTACTAAATTGAGGCATGCAGCCTACTATGCAGTAGAATAGTAGCACAGTGGCCCAGTCGGGGCCTGGGTTAAACACTTAAATACTTAAAAAAAGTTTCTAGATAATTTAAGAAGATGAAATGTATAATTACTTATTATAACATTCACTCACAATGAAAATTCGAGAACCATTAAATACACTAAAAACAATTAAAATATTAATACTACCACTGTTATTAATTTGCTCTACAAACTTTTGCAATTACTAATTTTTGTTCTTTCCTACTTTTTATTAAACCTTACTATTTATAAATGTATCTATCATAAATTATAATAAATTATTTAAAATTCAGTTACATTAGTATTATTGATGAACTTGGACGTTAATTTCGCCGTTTGCTCTTATCTATTTTTCCATAAGTATAATAATAGTAATAATGATAGCTGAAATATTTTATTTTGATAATTTGTATCTTAATTCAACATTATATACAGGATAAATATTTAATGGAAACAAAGTTGAATGACTTAAATTGTAAAGAATTTCTACAACTCACTTTTCTTATGTTAAATTCATAAAGCATCTTTTCAATAATTGAACCCTTAAACTATAGCAAAATGGTCATATGAAAAATGTTAAATGATTGCAAAAAAATCTTCTGATGGTATTGGAAATAGTTTTACTGGCTCAAATAAAATTTTGTTGAGTTTAACTGGTTCTATGAAGTTTATGGGTAATCAGTTTGATGAGCTTGAGAAATAACTACAAGAGATTCTAACATTAGTTAATGCATCAAAAAAGAAAAAAAATTATTTAAAGTTGAAAATGATAACTTAATTTTCGATCTAAATGTGTTATCAATAACAAGAAAATAATTAACTATAAATAAACTGTTAAAAAAATTAATGTATTTCGGATTACTTTGTTCTTTGAAGCATAAGTATCAATTGTCAATTCAAGTTAAAATATATCCAAATAATTATAAATTTATAAGCTTTTTGCTTATTTTACTAAATATAAAAATAAATTAACACACATTTTAAGAGCTGTTAAAACTAATTTTTGTAAAAATTAATTTATTGTAGTGTCCAATAGGCTAAAATTAATGTGGAAAATAATTAATGAGGTTTTAGACTCTAAATGATATAATAACTATAAAATTGAAACAGTTAAAGTTGGTGATAATATCACTGATAATAACGAAAATCCGATCAAAATCTCCAATCTATAAAACACATTTTTCACTAGTATTAGGTAGGTCTAGTTTCAAATGTATAGAACTATAGAAGACTCAACAAATGAAATATTTGATCTTTATTATAATGAACAAAAGTGTTCACAAGTGAATCAGAAATTATTCAAATTATAAGAAACTTTCAAGACGAAGGGTTTTGATGGGATATTTATAACATTTTTAAATGCGTAGCTAAAAGTATTATTAAACATCTAACATATATCTATAATCAAAATATAAAATATAAATAAAATTATTTTAAGATAAATTAAAATTAGTAATAGTCAAACCTTGATACAAAAATGGAGACAAAAAAAATCATTAACAATTAGAATGTTATGTAGTAGTTTTTCTAAAATATTTAAAAAAAATATAATTTAAGTCCTAATTTGTATTTGTATATATATATATTATTTACATACCTTTTTATTTTAAATCTGTACAATAGATTTATTCTTTATTTTATTCGTAAAATTATTATTATTAATTATTATTTAAAAGAAGTATTCATAATTTAATTGTTATTTATATTAGGTACTTAATAATTGTATAAATATTATTGGAAATAAATTTAAAAAAAATATTTACATCGTGTTACCATAATATATTATATAATTTAGTTCAGTTTTAATATTATTCATCTTTATTATATTTTATAACTGAATGTTATTCAAACGTGTGTTACAGGTATGGCATCACATGTGTCACGGGCACAAGCCTAAAATACAGGAACAGTGTAACATCCAACCTTGCTATGCAGAATGGTCTACAGGTGAATGGTCTAAAGTGAGTCAGCGTGATATTAAAATATTAACTATATTAATTATATTCTCATCGTTGTGCACTTGAATTGCCTTATACATGTATAGAATGGTAGCATTTTTTCCAAGTAACACTTCCTAGTTTCAGAGGAAATTTAAATTTTCTGTATATAATATGGATATATACTTAAATCGTATCACATATCATACTCGTTTAAAAAATGATATTCTCTGATTTTCGTTGTAAGATTGAAAAAACGACAGAAAGTTAAAATAATATAATAATTTACGATATAAAGTAATTAATATCTTGTTTTTAAATTTATATTTTTAAATATTCTTAACTGGTAAGTAAACTTAGTCTTTCCAAAGTCTATTCATATTTATAATATTTATATTTATCTGAAGGGAATTAAAAGGTGATCGTTAAAAGACATATTATAATTATACATGCTTATATCATAATATTATATTCCGAATTATACCAGTTTATACAGTTCCAGTTTATCCATACCATCTTTTAAATTATAATACATATGTAATATTAGTATGCCCGAAAAAAATATAATACAGTTTAGTTATCTCTGATAATATTATATTGAATAACGTACATGCGTCGTTCAATTTACTACAGTGTTCGGCGACTTGTGGCGATGGATTGCAGATAAGGAACATAACTTGCAAGTCAAAACAAAAGTACTTGACTTGCGACCCAATGACTGAGCCCAGGCGAACCAAAACTTGTTCGGCGAACTTACCGTGTTACCGTAAGTTCAGTTACATATAATATGTAATATATTATATTTATACAGTTTGTATATTATATTTATATCATTATCTACCCTTAACTAATAATGTTTCATTACCTAAGAATGTCGGATTTAATTTTGTTATAATTTTATTGGAAAACTTAATTTAAACAAGAAAATTTTTGCTTACTCTACAGCTTATAGCCACTAAACACGCTTTATTAATTTCACAATAAACATGAGAACATAATAGTAAACGCTTGTGTACATGTGGCGAAATATTTTTTTACTACCACGAACACCATGGAGGACTTGTGACAAGTGACTGAATAATAATCCAGGTATAAATGGTGTCGAGCAAGGTGAAATAAATTCGTTCATATTTGAAGTTATGTAGGTACTCGCGATTGCTGCTGCCCGCATGCGTGTGTGTAAATGTGTTTTGAGGGAAATGCGCCACACGAAAATGATATTTTTCATTTTAAGAGTCCAAAGTCATGTATACCGTCTGGACTGTCGGGTGTATGTAAAAAAATAGAAAATTCAATGTATCACTGTTGCTGTGATCGGTTTTGATTTGTCATGAGCAAAATTTCGCCAAACAAATTATCGAACGGGTAGAGAGCATAGCCACAGTACACACAGTATACGATATACATGTGTTTGTATGGTACCCAGCCTAAAGAGACCTTCGACGTGAATAAATATAATCATAAAACACAGAGATCGGTTTAAGTCCATTTTATTTTCGATTACAAAAACCACAACGGCGGTAGTAAAACAGCGATTTTAAATTACATTTTTCAGTCTCCTAGCTATAGCGGTCGATAACGATATAAACCCACTCGGCTCAACGTGCATAAACCCTTACCGCCTTCGCGCTTAGAGCTTAAAAAAGTATAAGTGTTATAGCGTTCATGGAAGTTTAGACTGGTTGGTCATAACAGTCGTGAAATCCGCTCAAAAGCTAATCGAATCATACCCCATATCGTTTTTATTGGGCAGTTCCATTCATTTGTAGTAAAAATAACACTTTTACGCGTTCAATCTTTGCTCTGGACAAACAATCCTGAATTTCATAATTTTGTTTTTCTTTTCGTTGAAATATTTGTTCATGACTAAATATTTTATACCAAACCACGTATTATATATACAAAATAATATAGGAGTAATATGCTATGTATTATGTGATATGTGTATAAACATAGATATACTGTTGTAGAAAGCGTGAATGGGTCGAGTATATGCCAGGGCCAGGAACTTATTATTTAGATTACTGTATATTATAATATATCACTCGAAGGGTTAGGTATAAGTTTAACGTAATAAACTATTAAGTTACGTATACGTCACGTCGTCAACCCATTGATCAATATTGAAAATATGTCTTCTGAATTAAATTTTTTTTATATTAAAACTGTATAACAAGTACCTACTTCATATTTTATCATATTGAGTAAACAAATATAATACTTATATTAAAATGGTTGTTTTACAATAATAGTCTTTTACATATTATGTTATTTATCTATATCATATTCTTGTATCAATGTATATTTTACAGTTCAATTTTAGGGGTTTTGATGAATAAATAAATTATAACAGTAATAATTTTATTTTTTGAACATATTTAGTGTAAAAATTCCAAATCCTATTAATAAAATATAATTTAAATTATAAACAAATCGAAAGCTTCGTAGATAATCCTATAAAAAAATTCTTCATTATTTTGATGATTTTTAGTTAAAATTTTTTAAATGTATACTATTTTTAACCATAATTAATTCGGTAAATCAAAATACTACACTACATGTTATCAGTGAAGATAGTAATATTTTTAACTACCCTAATTTCATTATCTGTTCCAAATTATTCAATTTTCACAATAAATTCTTCACTTTTTAAGAATATTAAATGTCTACCTAAAATAAGTTATTTTGTTTTATAAAAATTAGACAACTGCTCAAAGTGTTACCTTTAACTTTTTTCTGTTGCAAAACCTAATTAAAATGTTTATCTATTGATATGTACTATTACAGTTACGTTTTGTAAATATTTAAAATTATTACTTTAAAATATTCTGAGCAATATGTTATGATAAGTTCACGTATAAACTCACTTACATTTAAAAATTCTTAAAGTATTTATATTTTATTATACACGAAGAAATACCTTTTTTTTTTTAGCAAGAGTTATAAAATTCTAATAATATGATAATATATTATTATTTGTATACTATATATAATTATATGGTCTTCTCAATAAATAACGAATACTATTATTTGTTTTTGAAATTCAACAAAACAATGGAAAATTAAAATATTGGTTGTTAAAATGCTTAAAATGCTTAAAATTGCACCACAAAACTTTTTGTTATTTTCAAAAATAATGATAAGAAAAATATAATTCTCTTCTTGACCTAAATAATAAATCGAAGTATCGTATTTTTGGTTGTTTATATTACTTGTTGTTTTTATTTAACGTCATGCTTTTTTGCTGCGTGTGTTGTTACAGATGACAATTTAGACGCAGACTCGGATTTCCAAGTGTCGTCAAAATCGAGTTTTTCACAAGCCCACGCTCAGCGATTGGTTGGCCAACAAAAAACTTCTCCGCATACACAGTAAACTTTTAGCGCCCACATTTCACATTCGCACACGATTTATTAAACTGATAATATATTTAGGTTCGTTGCTGACAATTGGAGCCCATGCAGTGTTACGTGCGGTGATGGTATCAGGACAAGGAAAGTGTATTGCAAAGCTCATTTAGATTACACCCAGATCATGACGAAGTTAACAGACGACGCGTGTGTGGGTCCCAAACCACCGGAGGTCGAAAAATGCTTTTCGGTGCCCTGCTCGTTGAATAAAATGTAAACAATGGCATCGATATGGTTTTTTTAAAACTATACGAATCCATTATATTATAATATCTCATAAAGTCATAACCAATAATTTATATCTATGATTTCAGATTTGATCAAAATGAGAGGTCCATCAGAGACGGATACGCAGATGCCAGCTCTGATGATTTCAATCCACCGAAAGTCGCCCCCGGTTCGTTTGGTAAAACATACTCTTGGAAAAGAGAGGGCTTTACGCATTGCAGTGCTTCTTGTCTTGGAGGTTAGATTTGTATTGCCTGAACCATATAAGGTTTCAAAAAGCGATAAATTGCTGGTTTCAATAGTAAAAAAAAAAAAAAACATCAATTACAATGATATTTTAATGTTTCTAGTATTATTACAACTGATATATTATTTTAATAATTGTATGACCGTTTGTACATTATGTTAGCGTTATTAAATTAAATGATATTATGTTTGTGTGTTCCTAGTAAAACGCTGTGCTTCAGCTATAATATATACGTCTGCGTAAAACGCGATTTCATTATACAATTTTAATTAGTTTAAATCATATAATATAGTAACAGATTGATTTCGGTGAAAAAGGTATTGTAAATCAATTATGTGTTTTAAAGTAGTGAAAACTTGAGGCTTCGAGTTGTATAAAATCTTAAGTAAAAAGTATTTTTAGACGATTACAATAGTAATACAAATGGCGATAATATCAATTATCATACTGAAATTTACATTCGGTAAACAATTTTTATTTTTGTGTTCTCGCAGGCGTACAAGAATCATTGGTGCTATGTATACGCGAAGAGGACAAGAAAATTGTTTCCCCGTATTTGTGCTCTCGGAACGATCAGCCCGAAGTACTGACGCAGACATGCAACGATCAACCTTGTCCACCTCGGTGGAATGTTAGTGATTTCCAGCCCTGTTCACAAAGCTGCGGAATCGGGCTTCAGATGCGTGAGGTCAACTGCATACACGAGGTGACCGAAGGAAACACAGCTATTGTGCCGAACAATATGTGTCCTCAACCCCCGCCCACGGACCGGAAGCAATGCAACATGATTGACTGCCCCACAGAATGGCGGACTTCCGAATGGTCGAAGGTATATTCTCATTACTATTATGACGGAGCTTAAATTTCAAGAGTATTTTTAAATATACCTTTATAATGAAAACGTTAAAAGTGTTACAAATAATAGTTTTATATTTTAAATTTTATTTCAAACACTTAAAGTTTATTTTTTACACATTATATAGTATGTTTTTTTATGTACACGAGAATAGTTACACGCTGTAATACTGTATCCGTTATGTCTATTTTGTAATCTCTTCGGTGACATGAATATGATACGTAATGTGACGGACCTGTAATGTGATCTATTTTATATGATATGTTTTCGTAGAAGTCACAATAATAAATTTTGTAATTCCGTTAAAACTTAAAACACATGTGATAAGTTTCTTAAATTACTGAAACAATCAAGTATTTCGTGTATTTTAAAAAATGTTTTTTTTTTTATTCTTGAGACAGACTAATGTATTATAAACATACACAAATAAATGAATAGTAAAGTATTTTTCCTAAGACATTTTGACTTTTGTGTCTGATCTCTATTTTCTCAGTTGATATTATTTAACTTTTAGTTCAAGTCAATAATCTTTATGTTATTATTAATGTCTCATTTCTAAATAATAGTGTTTAAAATTTTTTTTTTATGTTATAAAATAACATATTATTATTATGGATTATATGTTCGCGAAAAAGTGAAAAAAAAAGGAGTAATATTAGTCATCCGATTGCATTTGCATGGTATTTTTAATCATTTTTAGATGTAACTTACTCCGCATAAACTTATCAATAAATAATTGCTACCTTTGAATACATTCACTTTACAGTGTAGTAAAAAATGTAACGGTGGCGTCAAAACCAGAGTGGTGGAGTGTGTGCAGAGGATTGCTCATGGGCACATCATAAACCGGCCAGACACGGACTGTGGTACAGACAAACCACTCGACAGTAGGTTGTGTAATCCAAACGCTTGCAGCTCGCAAGAAGCAGTTATGGTTTCAGACGTGGCTCAAAAATACGAACAGTCCACCACCGAGGAGGATGTTATGCTCAAAGTTGGTGGTGAGGCTACAGTGTATAGAGGGGTGGAAATGAAGATGCGATGTCCCGTTAACAAGAGGTATTTATAATATCATAAGATCCTACTCTTTTCAAGGAATACAAACTGTATGATTTAGGGGGGTTAGGAAAATCCAGAATCTCCTACTATAATATTTGATAATATTTATGACTTTAAGGATGTCAACGATCCTTGAAAATAATTTTCGCACAAAATCATGAATATGATTTTATTATACCATATTATTTATTGATAAATACAGTTATGTTATCATAAAATATAGTTCTCAATAATTTCTTTTTAATAATAATAATAAAAATAAAAACACAATTTTAATAAATTAACTTATATAATGACAATAAATTAATGCCTCTAAGAATTCTTAATACATTTACATCCAAAATAATATATTTTAATTAAGTTCCATGCACATATTTTGACGGTATAAGATTTAATATTTTAAAAACTTTTATAAATTATTCATAATCATCGATCGTTATTATAATCTTGATCCTGTTCAACAAACTCTAAAATTCTATTTCTCATAGTTTAATATTTAAGAGTCTTCTGGTGTGCAGAGTAGTCGGAATTGTCTCATAGTACTAACTAATGATCGCAGCTTAAACTCTTTTACCATTAGAAAAATATAAATGTATAATAATATATATTATAGTGATTTGATATTATTTTTTTTTTTTTTTTGATATCAAAATATTTTTATTAAATATGAAATATTTTGCCGGGAGATCTAGGGAGAGGAAATTTCACATGGAAGATAGCCTCTACTGCCGCCCTTGCACACACATTTATCTATAATATATACAAATATTACTATACATACGTTATACGTGCCAGCAAGTTTTATATAATAATTATCAATGGCATCACACTATAATGTATAAGATCTGCAGGTATATGGAGCGGGTATAAACTATACAGTGTTTTAGGTGTAGAGTGCACTTGGCACAAGCCCCGAGGGTTTCATGTTATAATATAAGGGATATATATATAAATTGCCTATTATTATTTTCAACCATTGTTATCGTGAACGTGGTGCTAAAACGAAACGTGACGGTCGCGGCGTAGATCATCAGGCCAACACGAGTTTAGTTCGTTAATCGATGACGTAAAGATATTTTTGTAAATTCTCTCTACTGCGTGTTCTCAAATTATATAGATAACTAAAAGTTTTTACTTAAAACACTTAATGTTATTTATATGTCAGAGTGTACGAAGATTTTTTAATCATTTATAACTCCTGCATGGTCGTACGGCGATTCCAATGTTCAGTATAATGTGTTCTGAACTCGTTAGTAGATAGAAGAGTAATTATAAATTTGTTCCTGGTAGCTTCGAATTGAGCTTTAAAATTCTCAGAAAACTACGTTCTTAAAAAACTTTACGACATTTTCTAATTCTTCTTTAAACCCATTTCACAATGGTAAAGTTCACAACCCATTTACTGTGTCATGTATTATGGTGAGTGATGACTGATGCAACAAAGTATAAATATGTAATTATTAATATATTGTACTTGTTTTACTCATTAGTACATACCTACCTATAATAATTAATATGCATTATGTGATATTTTATATTGTCTGCAACTTTACTATATAACCGATATTAATAATATACGTTGTAATATTTACTTATAATATTTGAATTTTTTTTATTCATAATATATTTATTTATTAAACGTGATGCAATTAATTAATATTATTTTTATTTTATTAAAACACTGTTAAATGTATGATGTATTATGTTCACATATTATATTATACATAAATACATTGTATATATCATATACCTATTGTTATATCACAGAATGTGAACGGTGAAACGCATGTATAAAAAACAATAATAATTATTATTTTTTTTGTATAATATATATATTAAGTGATATTAATTTATTATAGAGGAAAAATACAGTGGTCAAAAGATGGTCAGCCGTTGCAAAATGGCAAGAAGGTCCGGATATCGAAAAAAGGTATACTCAAAATCCGAACCACTACATATTCAGATCGAGGGACATATACGTGTATGGGTATGTAGCGTAAAAATTCAACATTAAAATATTATGTTTTCAGTTATTACGTACATACTAATTAATATCTATATACTATTTAGTGATCCTTTATCATAAACCAAAAAAAAAAATAACTTAAAAAATAAAACGAACTTTTAGTATTTAACTAAAATTGTAATGGTAAAAACAAATACCTAATGATAAGTAAAATTGTAAGTAATAGTTTTCAAACGAATATGTAAACAAAAATTATTTGAAAAGCTCTAAATCATTACCTAGTGGCTAGTTCACGATAAATTAATTACTCTGTATATTTGTGTGCCTAATGTATTAATTAATAATGTATTAATAATGCATTTTTGATTTATTATTTAGCTGGTAATGCCCAAGCTACAATGAACATCAACATTAAACCCCAGCCGGGAGAATTTCCAAGTTCCGAAGAAATCGACAAGCCTTTGAACCAACAAGATCCAGGTACAATTTACGTACTATCGCTAATAATTATTATTTTTCTATTAACCTTTGTCTGAAATCTAAATTTATTATGTTTTTAAACACAGTTGTTCACATTCTATAGGTACTAAATTTCATTGTACCACATATCCTTGCAGGAATAACTACATTGGTTTAATAACTATGGTGTATGATTTTTCAAAAAGTGAAGCACATTGTATTTATACAGCATCATTTTCTATTTTAAATTTAATACGAAGTATAAATTGTAGTTTGAGGAGGTCATTTATTGAATTTACCGGTAATAAAATATATTTTTATAGAAATACGTGGATTTAATAGTAAAAAAGCGAAAAAAAATAAAACTATTTACTTTGTGGGTAAATAATAATCGATATACTTGACCATAAATTATATCACTCATAACTCTGTTCAGAATCATTTTATGACTGTTCTAACATTATTATGTACCATAAGTTTACTAAGATTAGGTTTGGTTTTTATTATTTAATTTTTTCACTCTCCTTTTTATTGAAAAATAATTTTTAATCGTATAGTCTCACCACTGATGTCTTGTATAGTTTATGATGTTAATTTATTATTGTTGTAATAATTTATTTATGTATCATGGTATATTTGTTCAAAGGCACAAATCCTTCGTATGCAAATCCACAAGGAATAGAACCGTCATTTGACATCAGCCACGAACGCATCAAAGGTGAACACAATCGCGAACAGAAACACAAACAGTCACGACAGAAAACTACCACTATGCAATCAACCGTAACGAATACGGCGTCTTCCGAAAAGCACGTAGTGGCAAGTATCTTTTTGATTTTTACTATTTTCCTACTTAACTTGTTTCTTTTTTATTTTAAATTTTTAATATTATATTATCTGATTTAACCTGACCTGTTTCCCCCTCCGAAATTGATTAAACCATTTAATAACAACGTCGTTGGTGCATATACACGAATATACTATACCCGAGTCTTATAGATATTGTGTTTGACTATATAGTAGTTGGTACATTACAACGTTTCTTTGTGTCTGTAAACAGGAAACAGAGAAAAATGCTATAGACGTCTCCCCAAAACCCACCACTTCCGGAAGTTCACGAAACTTGCCTCACCTTCACAGTCTTCTTTTTAACCTCAAGGTGAGATAAAGGAAAATAAAACTAAATTTCCTGGGTTATCACCGTAGATGATTAGCTCCCTTACATCTAAATATTTATTATTATTAAACTATATTGCACATTCTGTCTCCTTTAATTTATAATAGTATTTATTTTAATTATTATTAATCATATACCTAAGTACACATATACATGCTCACACACAAACACATATGCACAATACACGCGTATAAACATAAAATGTACACACTATAGTAAAATACGCATTATTATTACTTGGATACTCTAATGATATTATATAGTTTAGCCAACCCTATAATACCATCACTACTTTTTACCTATATTATTATTATTATCTCACAAATAAACTCTTGCATGTATATACGTACGTATTTGGTTTTGTTTATTTGAATCCTGTACTTATAACCTAATATTAACGCACCGTCGAATTGTAAACATCACGTTATTTTATTTGAGTTGTGCCTACACGTAAATATATGAGCCTGGGGAAAGTTTTGTTTCATTTTCCATCAGAAAAACATAATTTCAATCATTCATACTAATAAAATGAGGTGGCTCTATGGCCATTTCAGGGTGTGAGCAACGCACGAGTGAATAGAATGTTTATGGAAGAACCGGCGAATCCACCAGCAGAAATCGAAACCAGCACTGAGGAAGACATGTTCGGTAAACCTGTTTTGCTCGGCAAAGGTACCTATAATATACAGTGCGGTGTTTATTAAAACTTTCGTGGTATATAATATTGTAGTATCGTGATAATATTATTATGATATAGTAATTAATTGAACGAATAAATAAACACTGGCCATGTTTTATGCTACAGGTGACCGGAAAAGTGTGAAATTTGAATGGGTCATCACAGAATGGTCGGACTGCTCTCCGCCTTGCGGGGGCAATGGTTTTCAGGTAAACTTTTATTTTATTTTTTTACAGGCGTTTATATTTTATTCCACTAGCGATTAATTAAATTGTAAATACATTATTCCTGTCGTTATATAAATGTTTGCCTTCTTGTAGATGAGAGCAGCTCACTGCATGGTCAAACTAAACAACATGACACAAAGCGTAGACAATAATTTATGCGAAGATGCTCGGCTGCAAACGCCTGTGACCATACAAAAGTGCGAAACGGATGATTGTCCGCAGTGGTCAGTGACTGAATGGAAACCGTGCGAGGAGTCCAAATGTTTCACCTGGAATACTGGTTAGTCTCGTCTTACCCTCCACTCTTCCCTTATAGCTTATACACACAACGAAAGACCATGAATATTGTTTAACTTAACTAATCGCACTCACTATAAGCTAAAAATCGTAATTTTATTTGGGTGTATACAAAGTTGTAAAACTTTAGGATGAAAATTTTAACAGTGAAAACTAATTGATAACAAAAAAATTATAATATAATTTTCTTCTAATAATTAATAACTTAATTATATATACATTGTATTATACTAAATTACAAAATTACACATTTGTTTATTCACATACAATTCTGTAGTTCGAAAGTTATAATTAACAAATATTTAATTAAAAATTTAATTTAATAAAAGTAGGTATAACTAAGTTTTTTATATTTTATTATTAGTAAAAAAAATATAATAGTTTTCTGTTACGGATCGATTATATTTGACTGTAATGTTTTTTACATACTAGGTCGTATAAATAACTCATTTACAAAAAGCTCAAATAAAATAATAACTTTCATCTTTTATTGAGAACGATTAGTAAATTTTAGCACCCTGGAGTTAACTAGAAATACGTATAAGTTTATTTAAAGTTATCAGGCTTAGAAAATACATATAATATATATAATGTATGTGTTTTAGTCTCCTAATTCTTTTTACCTAACTATAGATCTTCGCGTAAATATTTAATGTTATTTAATTATTTTTTTAAACACGTCATCCCCTTTTTTTCTCTGCGCAGCCATGCAAAGGCGAAACGTGTACTGTCAGAATTCGGATGGAGCCACTATATCGGACGAAGCGTGCCACGGAATCGAAAAACCGGTGAACCGGAAGGAATGCTACAACGATCAGTGCAAAGGCACTTGGAAAGTAGGCGAATGGTCCGAGGTAAGTGTCTGCAATGTGAGTGAACGTGTGTGTATCTGTACACGGGTGACGTCGATAAATAATGCAACTGAGGGGAAAAAAAGTGAAAAAGGAAAAAAATAAAAAGGGCAAAAAAAAGAGGGATATAAATAGAGTTTTTCTTCGGATTCACATCGTCGTCACTGTCAATTATAAGTTATTTGCGACGGTACACTACCGAGCGGGTGCGTGCGTTATCTCAATTTATGCCGCGTATAAATGAAACTGTCGCGCGACGGTCGATAAACACGATGGACCATTTTTGAAGATGTGTAGTATGTGTGTTTACTCACAAATCACTATATTATGTTAAAATATTAATCTACCGCAACTGTAATTAGATTCCTTCGGTTTCCCGAAACATTAAATTATTTTATTTTTTTACACATAAATTCTTTGACAAAACGGTTTGGTGGTCTGATTAGACTCTATATTTTTCGTTTTTTTTAAATAAAACATAATAAACAAAACGTAATTTGCTATAATATGCTTACCCCCTCTCTCTCTCTTACGAACGTGCACGCACACACGCATAATATATGCGCACACGTCACAAACTCTGTTTAAGTGTGTACAATTTCGACTTGCATACAAATAAAGCACAGGATGTATAAAATCAATTGTTGACATGTGTAGGCAAAATTTGCATGAGTAACGTCAATCTTCGTCTATATTGTTTACCCTGCAGTGAGTATTGTTGTATATTGGTATACAACGAAGCGATTTTTACCACTCAAATGTTTCGAAAAAGATAAATTTAATTTGATTTACCGAAAAGTATCTTCGTTCAATAATAATTCGATTTCTGTAACATCACAAAATCGATAAACTATGTCTACATAAACATGATTTACGTTAAGAGAATATAGAGTATATTATTATTTATTATTCATACGTGCAAAGTAATAAATATAATATGTTATTATTATACAATTAATTTATGTGTAATTTGTTCTCCTATTTTTAACAATATATCAAATTCTGCATACATTTCAGAACAAAAATGCTTAACTTCAAACAATTTTTTTCTCTCAAAAATATTTTATTATCACAAAAATAATATAAATAATTTATGTATAAATCATAAAGTTTAACCAGCCAGTTATTATTTTATAATTATACACACCAGCATTTTAAAAGTTCTTAATTTATCATTAACAATTCAAATTACCCCCACATGAATTTCTCGTTTCGTTCAAAAATATATATAGTGTACAAATATTTGATTTAAAAAAAAAATATATTCTTTTGTAAATAGGTTAATGTTTCTAAACTTTAATACCTAATCGTACAAATGTTCAATATAATGATTAAAATTTAAAACTTAATTTATGAATTATAAATAATGATTCAGCAGTGCACTTTTTGAAAGTTTAGAATAAAATATATATATAATATAGGTATATTATATATGCATAATAGGTAGGAATTAGAAGTGTAGAAGAAAAGGATAGAGTGAGATGGACATCAATAAAACGCCTTAACAAAATAACTATTATGATAAAATGGAAAACTAATACATCCTTACCTCGAAATTATCTTGAACATACACATAATATTTTATACTATGATTATTTAATAGAATTTGAAGTGAAATCTATGTTTGATATTTATTATTACCATTCTCGCTACATTACTATATTGTAGATAAATAGATGTAAAATGAGTAAATACGCTATGTCCTCAACTGTTGTTATAACTAAAAGCTCTCGTCTCTCATAAATTATTGATAGGAATGATGTAGAAACTACGATATTTATTTTTTGTTTTCAGTGTACAGCATCATGCGAAAAGGACGGACTAAGGTATCGAATATTGCAATGCGTCTGGTATGGCACCAATAAGCCAGCCGGGACCGCCTGTCGTGACCAACCTAGGCCACCGGTGATGAAGACTTGCACGGGACCGCAGTGCACAACAAGTAAAAAACACATAACTGTATGAATACTCTCAACAAGAATGGCGACATCATTACGTAGGGTGGGAGATAGATGGCAAAAAAAAGTCTCTCAACCTTTCATAACCATGTTGTGCCATTTTATCCTTCATATTGTGTTCACGATTGGCACAATCGTTTAGGGCTAACATCGATTATGTCAATTATTTTTTATTATATAATCGAGTTTTACCATACCATATAATGTCTTCGTAACAAGCAGTGTACCTATCGAAAAAAATGCAAACATCCGAAATCGCGTAGTGGTTTGATGTTTTGAGGTCAAAAACCCCGTATTACTCGTAATGATGTAGATAAAAGTATTAAGCATATAACGCTGATCGATTAAAACTTAAAATTTCACAACCAGTCTAGCATTATACAAATTTTCAGAAAGTCATCAAATATTCTTTAATTTTTAACTCTAGTAATTTACTCGCTCGCAATATAACCTATAACGCTCCAAAACTCGTTGATTAGTAAATTCATACATTTCAGTACATTTTATAGTATGTCATGCAAGAACTTTTCATAATTATTGTCAACGTTTTAAAAATCATATAATTATGTTAACGGTTTTTATTACAGAAGATGAATGTATAGATCACAGCAAACACAACTGCAAGAACGTAAAACAAATGAACATGTGTCATTTGCGTCAATACCAAACACAATGTTGTCTTTCGTGTTCATAAACACATCACCACTGTAATTTTATTTTTCTATTTCAATTTTTTTTCTATGTTTTAATGTGTTAATGTGTTAATAAGTATTTTAGCATTCATTCCGTTGTACATAACTATTATATACGATGAGTTACAATAAGTTTTAAAGTGTAACGCACGTCTTGTTGAACTAATATTTATATTGTTAAGTAGGTGAAATATTGTTTTAATTCGATTTTGAATGTGTGCTGGTGACTGCATATGATATTTTGTACACTAGAGTATACTATTATATATTGTTCGTAGTGATCTATTTTTTTATTGTTCTGTTTTCGAATAGTCACTAAGTACGTACTAAAGCAGAAATCGCCAACTATTATGGGAAAGAGGAGTACTAATAACTTAAATTGTGGTTATGAAATTGTTTTTGACTTTCCTCAAACTAGTTTAATTAAAATTTAATTTATAGTTAATATTACAAAATTATTTAACAATTTTTTTATTTTTTATTTAAGAGGTATTTGTAATATCTCGAAAATTTAACAACTGTTTCATATTTAAAACTTCATAACATTTTCAATTTAAACATTTAAAATTTGAAAATGTGATACAATGTCCCTTTGAAGTTGTTCTTATATAGCTATACAATATACATTCACAAACGTCAAAATGACATGTGCATAGTTTTATTTGATTACCGTTTCAAGTTCAAATCGTCTTACTCCTTTGCTCAGTGTATTCAATTTATAAAACTATATCTAACAGAAACAAATTATCCGGTTTTCAATATTTATTTTTAAAATTATTATAGTTAGTTGTTTGTCATTTACGCGCAAAAACTTCATAAGAAATAAGGAATTTTTTTCAGTTAACACTTTTACGATCGTTTCTAAGAAAATAATCTATATATATGATACTTTTATGTTGGAATTTCGAACAATATTTATAAAAAAAAATAGTCAAATTATTTTTTGTTTTAGAGAGACTTTGTTACTAAAGCCTTTCTAGATTTCTGTCAATTGATAAGTATCAATTTTAAACATAAGCGATGATCGTTAAATAGATACTGTAAAGTGTTAATAGCATGAGTTAAAAACTTAAATAATTGTTCAATATTTACTTCAGTAAAACACTTATTACGTGATTATAATCACATTATTTTAAACAAATATTATAAATCTTCCTTGTTAATTTTATTGACTATGAACTTCGATCAGTTCTACCACCGCATTCTCCAATACTTCAATCATAATAATGATTATTTTACAATAAATTTAATATTTTATCATTATATATTTGTTTATGATTTAGGTTTAGAATAATTAAAATTTCATGTTAATAAAACGACTGAAAAATGAAGAATCGAGAATATTCAGTATTGTTTGTGTATGGTTTAAATACAGTATAATATAAGATGATCATTAAAAAACCCTATTTTAAATGTAAATAATAAATATTATTTGGACCAAGATAATATACATTCCACTGTAGTTTACTAATTTCACGCTATATGGCAGACTAAAAGTCTAGAAATGTCGTAACTCTTTGAATGTTCGAGTGGCTCCCTATACAAAATTGATTAAAACTATTGTATAAACCATTTAAAGTAATATTATTATATTTCCATACATTCACATTTGGAAACAATCATGTTCTACATTTTTATTGTCGTAGGTACAACAACAGGTTTTACGTATTCAAGTCATATACTACGCATGATAAAACTTTCGTTCAACTAATAACCGTTTGATTTATAATAAATCTCTATGAGTTATGTTTCTGTAAATTCTCATTGACAAATTTCAGATGTCATAATAAAAAACATACTACCAGTGCACTGCATGTTGTAGATAGATATTTATAGACAATCGAAAAACAGTCAAATATCAGAGCGTACGCGTCTGTGACACGATCACGACGATTTTTGATTTTTACACAACTGAAATGTTAATTTATCAATTTTTCCTGTATTGTGGATGTTTTGTAAACTCGTAATACTAATGCAAGATGGTTAACAAAAAATAACGTGTTTATTGACGTAAAATAGGGACAAATTGTTTCTTTTTTTAACAATTTTACACAAATCCCTATTAATATTGTTGTATTACCTTTGTAGTGCAATCAAATGTTGTACTTTGTAGCTGAACTGATTTTAAATTTCAACCTTCTAAGATCGATTAAACAAAATTATTATTATCTTAGATATCTACCACTTTGTCAAAGTATACCGCTTTTAATTTTATCAAGGTACCTTGAATAATACCTGTTCAATAAATGTAAAATATTATTCATTCGCATTGAGTAATTCTATTAGTAGTATTATTTATTGTATAAAAAATTCTTATATACATTAATTGAAGTTGCAATTGTATTACACAGTGAACGTGACTGAAAAGTGGCGATTTTTAGTGTTTATAAAGTTACAACACATTTCAAGTTACATATTATAGTCTCGTTTTATTATTTGTAGTATTACTTTAAATACCCCTTAAAATTGTATTATCATATTATGTTTGATGATACAATTTGTCTATTTACTCCGTTCTAAAGCTGAATACAGAGTTCGGTTTGTTTATCTTAAAGAACTATTATGGTTTTAGATACACTCTATAATTACATTACAATTTGAGCAGTGTTTTGAGAATTTTAAGTTTTCCGTGTAAATAAGTATATTCTGAACCACAAAGCAATCCATCGTTGCTTGGTAACACAGATATTAATTATTTATATTCAAAATTATTCGTCTATACAAAAATTAATGTTAGAATCTGGAAGCCTACTTACCATAAATTAAAATAAAAAAAACTGTGTTAAATAATAAATGTTTTCAAAGTTAGGCTTGTCATTAACTGATATTGTTATTATTGGTTTTTACTTGAGTGGCCAGTTTCAAAACAAATATATTATTATATTATTGTGACATGATTAATAAAGTATGAGTATTAATATGTTATAAACGATATGACTGATAAATAGATTTTAGACCATTATTTATTTACCTTTTTCGTGAGATTAGTTAATTTTATCCTCGGTTAGAATAATGTAATACTGTATAAGTCTGTATTAAATAATGCATATATTATTAAATTTAGATTTATTATTGTAACCAATTTGTTTTATACCTTCTTATTGTTATTATTATTACTATTTTAACGTTATTTCGATTTTATATTATTACTTACCTACCTAAATAATTACTATAGTATTACACTAATATATAATACGTCGGTTTCATTTTCTGATTGTCATTATTTACATACAAACCAACAGTCGCCTAACAGCATTACGTTTTATGTATTATGTACATAATAGTATAAAAACATTATTATTTTACCCTATCCTATCGCATTATACTTATACATGTTATAGAATATTCATTAACCTATAAACTAAGTTATGATAAAGTAATAACAACATATTAGTAGCCCAAATATCAACTGTATAAAGACATTAGACACCTAATATAAGTGTATTAATAATATTATGATATTTTCAATTGTATTTGTTGTTAAACTTCCTCATTTTAAATGCATTTAAACCGTAGACGTTCATTCTGAAATATTATGTAACATTATTATTAAAAAAATATAATAATTTAGAATATATTATATTATAATTTGTTTTGTTGAAATAATAATAACATGTTAAAATAATATTGTACAGCGTTGTAATGTATTGCTTTAATATAAACTATATTTAGTTGTGCCCATAATAATTATTATTAGGAGAAAAATAATAAGCAAAAAGAAGTTATTATAATCGTGCTGAAATAAAAACGAATTTTGTAATACATTTTTATTTTGTGTCTGCTCATTGATTACATTTTCACAATGTTATAACACAAAAGGTATACCAAAAAAATAATACATTAATCATTATGCTAATTGTTAACATCTATAATTATTAAAAATATAATTCATCCTTATTATTTACCCAATTAATTTTTTTGTAAATACCTATTTAATAATATCACATGTCTCAAAACTGTATAATAGACATTTTTTTTTATTATTATTTTTTTTTTTTTTTTTTTAAGGGCATTATAATATATTCATATTTTATGTGTCGGAATATCTATAAAACATAAAAAAAAAAAAATAAAAAAAACAATAATTATGTACTGGCAATACTGCAGGCCAAAACATTCAAGAAAGAAATTTCAATAGGCAATAAGACACTGCTAATTTTATTATCTTATTCTAAAGACTTATGTATTTCTTTATAACAAATGCTACTATAATTACACAGTTAAGTATATTATAATTTATAATGTAATTTAATTGCAATTGTACTTTATACTAATACAACAATTATTAGCTTTATTTGTAACATACTAAGATATCTATAATAATGGTATTTAGATTATAAGTCTCTTGCATTAAATTTATAACATTATGATTTGTACCTGATACTGATTATTTAAAAATCAAGACAATTCCATTATTCATTATTGGACTAAATAGTACACTATGATTTTAATATGTACCAAGTAACTCTAAATTGATTAAATAATAAGTGTTTTTACAAATCACAAACCTCAGATGACTGTAAGTCTAATAAATAAATATTTATCTACATAGGTAGGCTATTATGTGTAAAAGTGTTAAATATTGTTATTAATATATTACTAGTTTTGAAAAGTTGACATACTAACAAATTTCTTTAGAAAATTCTAAAAAAAATATATTCAAAGTTTTACCAATTATAATAAAATAGTTATTCGTCGTATTAATCATAATTTAAATATAAAATCTTATTTTATTTTATTTAACACCATTTTTGAATAAAAATGTTTTCAAATTTAACAAAAATTTCATAATTAAAATGCTATAAAAATATTTAATATATTTAAAATTGCATGTAACTTTCAATACTTTTTAACCTAAAGTTACTAGTGTTCTTAAATGTAAACAAATATTTTTTTAAAAGAATTAGATGAGTGAAGTGTGAGTTTGTGTATGTGTTTATTTGTGTACTCACAACTAAAAAACAATAGCATTTTCAATTTTGTGAATGTATTGCACTGTTATCACACAACAATATATGATAAATAATTATAATAAATACAGTACACAAATAATTAAAATAATAATAATACGATCCTTAGTTATTGTAGGCTGTAGATCAAAAAGCTTATTAATATACAATATTATTTAGGCAATTAATAAAATGTCTGATTTAACAATCAGAAACGTAGCGTGCAGTATCTTCCAGTCGAAGCTGTTTCGTAAAGTCTGAACAAATAATTCATTAAAAATATGATATAAATCTATATACCTATTATATTATGTATGTGTGTTTATATATTTACATTTATAAATACCTATATGACAATACTTTATACAATATAATACTTTCATCTCGTTGGTTAAGAAATATATCTGTACCCAATCAATGGTTACCGCTGATACCGCGCACTTTACATAGTACCCGGAAACTGCTGTGACTCGGAACTGCTAGGTTGTTTTTACTGCATGGTACTCACCGTATCAGCTTCCGCCACTGGCAAGTTACCATCGCCGTCATCAATACCATGGTCACGTAGATACCACGATCCGCCCCACCGCTGTCGAACGTCATGACGGTAGCAGTGGCTGTCGTACCGCAGTCGTCCGTCATATGACACGATCAAAGCCGCCGAAGTGTATCCTGCGTGTGACGCCGTTAACGCGTTCATCCTGTTTGCCGTCATTTCATTACGATATGCAAATGAACAATTTTCCGAGACAGTTGACAATATTTTCGTAACGTCAGCGCGGAACCAAAGTTATTAAATTTACATTATGTTTGTTCGTCAACACTATGTATTATTTTATTTTATTTTGCAATACGGAACGAACTTACTACACACTATAAAATCAATGTTCAACAGAAACTATA